AACGGACACACCCCTTTTGCTCTTAAACACGTAATATCGTTAAGATTCCTATACTATTTCACTTTCTCTTCTAATACTTCAACAAGATTTCAAATATACCGCCAAATATTGAACTTTTAAACTAAAATTTGCAAAATACCAAACCAGTTATGATTAACACGTTGAACGTTACGAAAATTTTTTTTAGAAAAATTCCCAGGTCAGGCCACAGACGTTACTTTGCATTGAAAAAATAATTGAACGTCAGGCACAGATGCCTGACACGGCCTTAAAGAAAAGTCTAGTGTCAGTCATCGATGACTGACATGGCGCTCAACGTATTAACAGGGTGGGACGTATAAATACGTCAAAAGTATTTTACATATTTTATATATAATTAAACGAAAACAAAAATATATATATATATATTTTATAGTTTTCTCATTTTAAACATAAATAATTAATAAATAAATAATAAAAAAAGGTGCGTAATTTAGCCGGTTAACTTAACTGTTAGGTTAACTAACTAAACAACCTAAACAGCAATTATTATTTCTTTTTTTTAACTGAAAGTAGGTTGCTAACCTCCTCTTTTAGTGGGGGGTTGAGATAATGTAAAATCTAATGAAATTAATAGAAATAAAAAGAATAATTTTGTTACATTACTAAAGTAAATACTTACATGTGTGTATAGAGATATTATATATATATATATATATATATGTATATGTATATTTAAGTATGGTACCCTTTAAAAATAGCTTGGGATGAAAATGAAAATCAATATAAACTCGTGCCAAAGTGGCCGTGCGAGTTTTCTTCAAACCCTCGACAAGTCTAAACAGGCTTATGCGGGCAGGTATATACGCGAGTTATTATTTCGATGACGATGATGGTGCTCCTGCAAGATGTAAAACACACCTTGATGGATAGCCATATAATTTTTCTTTCATCCTTAAAAAAAAAATCCCTAGAAAAAAGTATATCAAAAACTAGAAGAAAGTAAAAGAAAAAGATTGAAATCAATTTGTTGTTTCATTCAAGTTTTCCAACAAAGATTCACAGATTTGACGATGAATGTAATGTTAAGGAATGAAATTCATTACTAAAGCTAAAATAATTCTCCATTGGTCAATTCATCAAAAAATGAAGCATATCGATCCTAACCTACCCCCTCCCTCCCACAAACCATTCTTTTTCCAATCCCCCCCCCCTATTATATTTTAACGACGCTTCAAAACAAGAATATTTTTCAACTGACGATGAAATATTCTCGCAACAAAAAAAAAAAAAAAAGAAAAACAATTTCATTGGATTGTCCTGAGCTTGCATAAATAAAAACCTGTATAAATCGTAAATGGATTGTAAAATGCAAATATTTCGAAAAAGATTCGTTCATGTCGAGAAAAAACAAAAAAAAAAACGATGTTATGGTTGTATTAATACACGAACAAAACTATCGATCGATGAACGAGCATTTCTTCGAAAAAATTCAAGGTTAAAGGTCGCTGTAAAACGATCGATATACGGAAAGAAGAAAAAAAAAAGTAGACCAAAAGGAAGCTCGTGCAAAGTAAAAAGAAATATTTTAATAGAAAGAAAAGAAAAAAAAAACATGTTCGTTTGAAATTTGACGAAATGCAAAATGAAGAACACGCGTTTCTCTCTTCTCACGTGTACTGTATAAACGTGCCGCCATCTTAACTCTCTACCAATGCGACTTTACGATCCCTCCCATTGGCCAAGACAGACCGTCATAAGAGAATTCCCGTTCCAATCTTCGATCAGGAACGAAAATTTTATAGAGTTTTATTTTCTCTTTTTTTTTTTTATTCAAAACATACACACATATACGGTGTTTATAAAAAGATTTGAAAAGTCGTACTAAAAGTTGTAAATTATACATACACTATATGTATTATACTCATAGTTACTTTACTTACATTCGTCTATCTTTCGTTCTTGTTCAAATTGCACGCATAAACCTACCTAATATACGTTGGTATGTAATTTGTAACACGCGAGAATTATCGTCACGCAAAAATCGAGACGAGCTTAGTACGCCACGCATTAAGTGCTAACTTTTTTTTTTTTTTTATTGACTTCCTTGATCGATAGATCGTCTCAAATGATTTCTGTTTAATATACATTTATATATATATTTTTTTCAAACAATAATATCAAAAAGAAAATCGAACAATTTGCCAAAAGGAATTACGTCTCGTTGCGAAACGTTGCAACAAACCACGTCTCCAATATCATCGTAGCTGATTCAGTTTCACTACAAAACTGAGGAGGAGGATGAGGAGGATGAGGAGGAGGAGGAGGAGGAGGAGGTAGGTGTGAGTCACGCGATTCCTAAAAAGTGTTACGATGCTAGGATTCTGCAGAGTATAGGGGTCTAATTTTCCATTTTTCTGAAAAACCTAACTTTCTCTAGATGTGTGTGTGTGTGTCCCCGCCGTCCACGTGTTTTTTCACGCGAGTTTGAAACCTCGTTGTGAAGAATTACTCCGTAAAAGAAACTACGAGAGAACTGGTCGTTCTTCGAAGTGTCGTCCTTGACTGAGGGAGGTCGCCGACTCGGAAAGGTCGTTTCACCTTGGCGAACACCGACGATCGATGGGAATGAACGAACTAACGTATGACAGCGTAAACATATGTTTCTTTCAATTAAAAGTATTATCATATTAAAATAATTGTTAATTAAATAATAAAAGGGTCTCTTGTCACCTAAAAGCTTGAATTATATGATCGGAGTAACGTCCTCTTCGAAATTCATCTTCAGACTGACGTTGAAAATTCTTATATTGAAAGTTGTTTATATGACTATCCCGAACGTTGCGCATGTGTATGTGTGTTAAATTATATTGTACTAGAAGAAAAGTTTATTAGAATATTAAAATAATTGTTAATTAATCGATACAAGTGTCTAATGTTGTTTAAAGGCTCGAATTATATGATCGGAGTAAGGTCCTCTTCGAAATTCATCTTCAGACTGACGGTGAAAATTCTTATATTGAAAGTTGTTTATATGACTATCCCGAACGTTGCGCATGTGTGTGTGTGTTAAATTATGTTGTAATATAAGAAAAGTTTATTAGAATATTAAAATAATTGTTAATTAGTCGATACAAGTGTCTAATGTTATTTAAAGGCTCGAATTATATGATCGGAATACCGTCCTCTTCGAAATTCACCTTCAGACTAACGGGTTGTCCTTTGTCAAAATTCTTTTATTCAAGTTGTTTAGGTGACTGTTCCGAACATTGCGTATGTGTGAAACGGTAATAATAATTCTAATAAAGAGTATTTAACATTATAACGTTCTAACTTTAGTATTTTTTGTATTCTAATGTAATTTTTTTTTATTACACATGCACAGTGATGACTTCGAGTGTTAAATTTACATGTAACATAAGTAGAGTGTATTAGAATGTTAAAATAATTGTTAATTAAATAATTTAAGAGTCTCTTGTCACCTAAAAGCTTGAATTATATGATCGGAGTAACGTCCTCTTCGAAATTCATCTTCAGACTGACGGTGAAAATTCTTATATTGAAAGTTGTTTATATGACTGTCCCGAACGTTGCGCATATGTATGTGTGTTAAATTATGTTGTAATATGAGAAAAGTTTATTAGAATATTAAAATAATTGTTAATTAATCGATACAAGTGTCTAATGTTATTTAAAGGCTCGAATTATATGATCGGAATACCGTCCTCTTCGAAATTCACCTTCAGACTGATGAGTTGTCCTCTATGAAAATACTTTTATACAATGCAGTTTATATGACTCTTTGAATGTTGAGCATGTGTATAACGTTAATAACGTTGAGAATATTACACTGTTGTTTAAAAAACTGTGTAAATCAAAAACAAATTAAAATGTGATTCGTGCCGATGAAAATTTAGCTTTGGTAGCCCATGTCCAATGTAACCAAGTGTCTTATCCGTCTTATCTGTTCCCATTACGTAACCTAACGCATCTCGCCCACGTCGTTGTTTTATCAATCCAAGTATTTTCAAATAGAAATAAAAATCGTGACGTTGTTTCGTGAACAAAACCCCCTTTTTTTTTTTATCTGACGATGACTGAAAGAAAAAGAGGAACCTATCAAAGATTGTCGATTTATTATTTAGTTAAAAACATCTTTAAATTTCACCTATGACTAAACTACGCGATGTTGAAGCACCAATAATGTCGAGAGAATTTAAATGGATTCGCAACGGGCAAGAGATTCTTTCTCTGTCTCTCTCTCTCTCTCTCTTCTGTTGGAAATGGTCGAGAGAACGTAGGGGAGAAAGGGTCTCCCTTCCTCGAGAATTTATCTAGGAATATCTCAAATATGTGGGATAGAATATTATTGATTCACGAGTTATGGACATGGTTGGACGCTTAACGAGGGCGAACTTCCATGAGAACGAAATAAAAGCTATGAGAAGATTTCATTTCTATCAAACAAAATCATCCAACAACAACAATAACAAGAAGTAAAATGTTTCGTTCTGGAAACGTTTTCAATGAAAAGAGGAGAGGAATGTCTTCATCTTCTTCATCATCATCATCTTCTTCTTCTTCTTCTTGGAATATCAAAACTGACGAAAAAGATTACGAATGTGTCAAGAGAGAGAGAGAGAGAGAGAGAGAGAGAGAGAGAAAGAGAGAGAGAGAGAGAAAAAACCAAGGCAAGAATGAGAGAGAAAAAAGGGGGAATGGTCGTCGATCGGCGCCAACGTCGACTCGACGCGACTTATCGCTGGCCAATAAACGCCACGCACTGTGTACACACAGGAGGAGAACGACGTTAAGAACACAAAGAACCAACTCGATTGGCTCAAATGGAATAATTCTACTTAAAAAACAGTAGCATCAAAAATTGTCTCATATATTCTAATAATATCGTAATAAAAATTAAAGTTATAATAATAATTGTAATAATAATAATAATATTTAGAATCGGAGAGAAACGAATATGATAGGAGGACGGCTCGTAAGCTCATTCCCGTTTGCCTTACCTTGCCTTTTATGTTGGCTTTCCCACGTTCCACCACTTGGGTTCGTTGTCGCAATGTTGTTCTGCCAACATTTCTTTCTTTCTTTCTTTCTTTCTTTCTTTCTTACTCTCGTTTCCACGCACTCCTCCACAACCGCGGACGACTTTTCCACGCGGGTTATCATCGCGTAGCCCCCTAGTACCACCCTGTCACGTCTTCGTCACGTTTTCTTCCGACACACTCACTTTTCGTATGAGTTTGTAATGATACCAAAAAAAAAAAAAAAATATCGTCAAAGTTTGATATGGGTGGATGAGGGGGCTAGAAGAGACACCATTTATTTAGAAATCTATCGATAAAAAATTGAAAGAGGAACGCGAGACGTTGCATCCTAACTTTGACGATGATACTTGACGATTGTTCGTCGGATTCTCGCGGGTTTAAGCACGCATGCACGCACGCACGCACGCACGCACGTTTCTTTTTCGCACTTCCGCCGATCGTTGCGCATCCTAGCGAATGAATATTGCATTCAAACTACTATTTTATTATCAATATTATTATGTTTATACATATGTATATATATCTAACTGTAAAATGTCAAATTGTTGAACACGTTGCATGAAAATCGAGTAAGCAAAAAAATAGTGCATCTGTCTGTCTGTGTGTGGAAGAATTTTTTTTTTTTTTTCAAACAGATCGCATTTCATTCTGTTATCGTTAGCGCGAATTCTTTGGCGCGTGCGCAACTAGCTTTTGCGCAAGCGTATAATAAAAACGTCGAGTTCTTAAACGAACACGATGGCAGCACGGTTTTGAGAGCGCGCGCGCTTCTATGACGACGACAGCTACGACTACGACGATGACTACGACGACGACGACACACTGGGTGGCCCGGTGGGTTAAACGCGCGGCGCAGTTAAAATGGCCGCGTGTATACGCGTGTTCCCTCTCCCTCTTTCTTTTTTTTCTTTTTCCCCCCTTTTTTTATCTAATTTTCTATATCTATTTCGTAATAAATCCGTGACTATATCATCCTTCAACACCTACTACTATAAACGCACAAATATTCGATGACGAATATCATGAAAAACACTCGCGTATTGTTTATAGATTAAAATAATGAGAATAAATGTTAAAATGATAATAATAATAATAATAAATAGGGCGTGTAACGATTCGTTTCGTTAAGGAACGATCAAATAGGAGGCCCAGGAAGGCGCGCGCGCGAGGATTCGCGCGAGACTGTGCGCTCCTCGCGAATTCTGGTGGCGCGTCGAACGCCGGGATAGTGAAAACGCGCAGTTTCTATACGTGTGTAGTAGTAGTAGGATTAGTAGTAGTAATAGTAGGTAGTAATACTAGTAATAAAGTAGTAGTAGGATGCGTGTATATATGTGCGTATACTCCACAAAAAGAGAGAGAGAGAGAGAGAAAGGAGGAAACGCGAGCGTTGCAACACTCAGCGCCAACTATTGGCCATCGTTCAAACTACCAGGGTAAATAGCTCTGTTCTTTGAGTGGGGGTAGAAAAAGAGTGAGAAAGAGAAGTGCGCCAAGAGTGTCGTCACATCCGGTATTCGGGTGGCGCTGGCCGACGGCAACCCCCCACCCAACCCCACCTCAGCCCCTTATCCATCTCACCCTTTGACTATTCTCCTCTCTTTCTATCTTTTGCGCTTTGCTTTGCTTTGTGCGTTCGTTCCGTTGCGTTTGCGTGCGCGCGATAAATGCGGGCACCACACACGCTTTCAACTATGCGTTTTACACTCAAGTAGGGTGCGGGAAGGAAAGTAGCGTACTACTACTACTATTACTACTACTACGTATAACGTAAGTCGATTCGAGTTGGGGCTCTACCATGTTCACGGAAAATTTTATCTCTTTCTTTCTTACTCCGTTATGAATGTCGGTAAACACACATATATATTTATATATTTTACGTCGTCACGCTTTACGATTCAAAATCTTTCTATGCGATAAACAGAAACCATTATTTGTATGAACCATTGATTTTAACGATTTACAACAATAAAATCAAATAGAAAATAATGTTATCAATTTGAACAACAATGTTCATTAACACAAATCATCGTCAGGCCACTGGCAACAAAACGAGAAGTTGAACGTCAAGCATAGATGCCTGACATGGCCTGAACGGGAAGTTCAGTGTTAGTCATTAATGACTGACGTGACACTCAACTCATGTTAATGAGATTGATCTTACTTAACATCACTATCGTCAACCAATAATTCCAATATTTCTTTCAATAATTATTAAACAGCGATGAACGACCCTGAAAGGGGGAGGGGGCTGAGCATAGGTCTTCTACGTATGTACGTAGATCGGTCACGTGTAACATGACGTTGAGAATAACGCTTGCTTGACTGCTCACATGTTGATGATGGACGTCACGCGCTTGCTTGCTCGCTCGCTCGCTCGCTCGTCGTCGTCGTCGTCGATGATTCCTCGTCACGCGCTTTGCATTTCGCTTTTCCTCCGGAACTTGATACCCAACCGATCATCGCAATACGTGTGAAAACATACTTGGTTTAATTCAATATTTTTTTTCTAATGCAAGAAGAGGTTGGTAGGTGATAGTGGTGGTAGAAGAACAGACACATATTTGAAGCTCGTACGTCAGAATCTTATTTATACAATCGATTATTAGAGTCTTGACGTATGGAAAATGATTCCTAATCATATTGGAGATGATAAAAAATTGAATGATGAAAATAGGAACGCTAGGAAACATAAGAAAAATGAGAATGAAGAAGAAGGATGTTGTGGACATCGGTTGTTGCACGTTGAGTTGGTAATGGGTGGTGGTGGTATTTGAATAAACTCGTACGTCAGAATCTCGTTTAAACAATCGGTTGTTATGGAAAATGATTCTAATCATATTGGAGATGATAAA